CCTGTCAAGGGTATGTACCTTGATTGCAAGCTCAATCCCCAGTAGGAGGCGTGCCAAAGGCAGCCTATGAATGACTCTCTCATAACTGATGCTTCTATCTATCCCTAGCCCTTCCTCTCTGAAATCAATTTAAAAATATTTTTAAAATATGATTAAAATAGCACATTTTGTTATATATATTTACAATAAAAATAATTCCTACACAAAAAAAGGCAAGCACACCAGAGCACAGACACCACATTTAAGACAAAAAACATTTGCATAGCTTATTGATCCACATAAGTGATCAAGATCCTACAGTCAAAGTGTTCTGTTTGGGTCATTCTCAATAGCTGCTGAGTCCACACTGTGGAGGACCTTGCATAGAAACGGCTTAACCAGAGGGAACTGGTCGAAGAAAGCTAGTTTAGGATCATTGCACGATTAAGATGGAGAAGTATAAGCAAGTAAGTTAGAAAAAGTAATTGAAAGTAAAAGAAATAGTAACACAGGAATCCAATAGTTTCCTTATTTCTGCTGTTGCTATACTACCACTATTGCTCATCTTAATATTTATACAACTTTTCATAAGAATGAAGACTCAAATTCTTGTTTTCTTTTTTTTTCCTTTTCATTTTTAACCCAACAAACACTAACTGAACAGCAGCCTGAGTATTATAACAATGAACGAAATCTTGTCTCTGACTTTACCCCCACTAAATAATTTAGCTCTTTTTTTAACCCTTTAAAAGTGGATTAGCAATGATTCTTTTTTTTTTTTTTAAATATATTTTACTGATTTTTTACAGAGAAGAAGGGAGAGGGATAGAGAGAAACATCGATGAGAGAGAAACATCGACCAGCTGCCTCCCGCACGCCCCCTACTGGGGATGTGCCCGCAACCAACGCACATGCCCCTGACCGGAATCAACCAGGACCCCTCAGTCTGCAGGCCGATGCTCTATCCACTGGGCCAAACCGGTCAGGGCAGCAATGATTCTTTTCTATTATTATTCATTTTTAAAAGGATTTTGTTTTAGCCAACAAACAGGCTGGGTTTTACTCACCGGTGTCTTCTAATTCTTGCCCAGAGGCTCTAAGCTTGCATTCCTTTGGGTAGTGTTTCTGAATTACCTCCCACAGTTCCTTATTGATGAGAGAATTTCTTCGAGTGTGATACCGGGTCCACGAAGAGACCCGGCGCCGACAGAAGGGACAGCATAGGTTCGCCTTCTCCACAGTCGACTGGAAGCATGCATTACAGAGCGTGTGGTTACAGGGCAGTGTCACCGGCTCCATGAAGATTTCCATGCAGATCCCGCACTGGCATTCCGACAAGGAAGGGATGGCATCTTGAGGTACAGCCATTTTAATATGCTAAAAAGACATAGTCAACATCAACGCCCGAAAGACAAAGAAGAGTATTTCCGGCCCAACCAAGGGGAAATCAAACGAACAATTTTGTGTTTGAATATTATGCCCAGCAGCGTATCAGGATTCACAGGCTGTTAGCATCAAACACGTCTTGAAGCCAAAGGCGCTCTGCGGGCCAGGTAAGCAACACTACCCTGAAGGCTGTGTTTGTCCCTGTTTAAGACAAACGTCTGGTAAGAAAATAAATGAACGAGTCCGTCCAGAGGTTTTAATGTAACTGCTTCCGCAGCGCAGCCGGGGGGCTCCCGCCCTCGGGCGAGGGGGCAGGCGTGTGACAGGTCCCCTCCTCCCGCTTACCAGGTGAGGATGCTCCCGCCGCCGCCCAGGCAGCAGCCTCGAGGCCACCGTCCCGGAAAGGACTCTGCTTCCGCGGGGACTTCTGGCTCCGCTGGAGGACTTCCGTTTCACCATCGCTGCGGGGTCAGCGCACGAACCCCCGCGTCCCAGCTTTCCGGCATCTGGGGCGCTCGGAGGCCGCGTCTCCCCTCGCTAGAGGCAGCTAAATAGCTACATCCCATCGGTGGTGCCGCAGCAACCCGACAAGGGCTAGTGACGTCACAACTGCCCGCCGAAAAGGGCCCCGCCCTCCCAGGAGCCGCCCAATGGCAGAGGCCAGGAACGCTGTGCAAGGCGGGACTTCCGGGGCTGGAGCGCGCCCATCTCGCCCCACCGGGCGGGAGAAGTCGCTGCTTCAGCCTCTTAGCCCCTCCTACTTCCGCTTGGGGGAGTCCGAGTTTCCCCTGCATTTTTCTGCTCCCGGAGCCTGCGGAAACGGGATTATCGTCTGTGGTCAGAAAAGGGGAACCTCCAAACAAATTTTAAAATTTCTCCCAGTACTCTTCAAACTATCTTTCTGTTTCTATTCATTTGTATCTAAGCCTCTTAGATTGCTATCCGAAGTTTTTAGAAAAGCAGCTCTGATCTCGGGGAAAAGTTGTGATCAGAGAATCTGCAAACTTGTATAATTTATAGAAGCACTTATTATTCCCTCTGTAGCCCAGCCCCTTCTCTAATTTGCCTTTCATAGGTAGGTTCTTTTTTTAAAAAATATTTTTTTTATTGATTTCAGAGAGAAAGGGAGAGGGAGAGATGGAAACATCAATGATAAGAGAATCATTGATTGGCTGCCTCCTGCAAGCCCCCTACTGGGGATCGAGCCCACAATCTAAGGCATGCGCCCTTGACTGGAATCAATTTGGGACCTTTCAAGCCGCAGGCTCAGGCTCTATCCACTGAGCCAAACCAGCCAGAGCCATAGGTAGGTTCTTTTAGGATTGTCGGCCACAAGGCTGCTTCTATCATGAGGCTCAGCAGTCAAGTGTATCGTATATAATGTAGTATTTCATTATTAAATCTAGAACAATCAAAATTATTAGGAGGCCAAAGGCAAAGTAGTTTAACATCTTGGCATTAAGTTCTTGTGCTGACAACTGATCCTGTGGTAGGCAGTTAGACAGGAGCAGAGAAAGGAGGATGGGCCAGGTACGGAAGGTCACCAGAGTGGAAAGCCCTGGGTGCCTAGGAAGGGACAATCGTAGGGTGGGACCTCATTCCCTAGCATTCAGTTTAGACCTCCCTGACCTTTCATATCACTGGTCATTCGGTTTAGACCCTCTGACCTTTCCTCCCTAGAAATAACATCTAGGCCTCAGTTGGATTTTAGCTCCACGACCAAGAAAAGCAGCAAAACCAGCTGCATTGAATAATGACCTACTGCCCTGGCGCTGACCAATCAACCAGTGGAGACCTAGCCCCTGAAAGGACACACCTGGAAAGCTGATGAATATTCTATTGAAATCCTCCCTTGGGACCTCCCTAAGATTTCCACCCTTAAAACACATAGGAGGAGGACGTGCATTTTGAGCCCTGGCTGGGTAGTCAGGTGGTTAGAACAGTGGTCAGCAAACTGCGGCTCGCGAGCCACATGTGGCTCTTTGGCCCCTTGAGTGTGGCTCTTCCACAAAATACCAACTTCTGCGCATGGGCCACGAAGTTTCAATCGCACTGTATGTGCGCGCCCACACGTGGTATTTTGTGGAAGAGCCACACTCAAGGGGCCAAAGAGCCACATGTGGCTCGCGAGCCGCAGTTTGCCGACCACTGGGTTAGAACATTGACTCCATATGCCAAGGTTATATGTTCAACCCTGTTCAGGGCACACATATTAATCAACCAATGAATGCATAAATAAGTAGAATAACAGATCAATGTTTTTCTTTTCCTTCCTCTCTCTAAAAATCAATAAATTTTTTAATTCTTGCATTTTGATTTCTATTTTTAGAAATCGTCTGTAATGGATATATTTTATATGCTTCTTCAGATTTCCTTGGCCTTGTCCCTAGGTCTGCCTGAGGGACATTGTTGAAATCTCTGTCTCCTCCTGCCACTTTTGAACTCCTGTGAAACACTGCACTGAACAATGCAGGCTCTGACTGTCCTGTGGCTGCTGGGAGGGCTTAGATAATGCATCCTGGAAGTATGGGGTTTCACTCCCATGGAGCAAACTTTGGCCAATTGAAAACAGAAATTTTCTTTTTTCCAAGGCATGGTTCCTTCAAACGGTGTTTTTGGAGAAGGTCCAGATTGAGCGGATATATCTGCCAAGCAACCTGCTGTATCTCTTGTGGCTCATTTTCAAAGAGGGGCCAGCAAGGTAACATATCACCTTGTATTACTTATCTTTCTCTACCTAGCATCCTTCCAGAGTGTTACTGGATTCTCACTGTCCTGAATTTGTACCTCCCAAGAAAAGTATCAGCATTTAACATTTACCTGGAGGACAGGACCCACATTTTTTGTTGTTGTTGTTGTTAATCCTCACCCAAGGATATTTTTCCATTGATTTTTATAGAGAATGGAAGAGAGAGGGAAAGACAGAGAGAAACATTGATGTGAGAGAAACACATCGATTGGTTGCAAACCCTGACCAGGGCCCAGACTGGGTAGGAGTTTGAAACCAAGGTATGTGCCCTTGACCAGAATTGAACCTGGGACCCTTTGGTCTGGAGGCCGACACTCCATCCACTGAGCCAAACCGGCTAGGGCAGGACCCACATTTTTAAATGTTTTTGTTGCAGCACCTAGCACATGGCATTTGGTGTTCAATAAATATCATAGATATAGGATCAATGTGTATGAGTTCCCTTTCTAGTATAAATAACTGTGATACTGTACTAGAGAGAAAATGTACATCAATATATAATATAAGGGATTTTTATTGTTTTGTCTTTTAATAGATAATACATTTACATGGTTCAAAATTCAAAATGTATATATGCATTAACAAGATTTCCTCCTATTTTTGACCCGCTAGCTTCGTAGTTTTCTTCCTTAAGACAACCAATGTTCTCACATTCTTATGTATCTCTCCAGAAGAAGTTTATAAAGTTTATGGATATATTAGCTTATGTATGTGTATATATACATATGTGTTTGTCCCTTTTTCCATTTAACAATACACTTTGGAAATACATATTTTATTTTTACTTTTAAAATATATTTTTATTGATTTCAGAGAGGAAGGGAGAGGGAGAGAGAGGAAGAAACATCAATGATGAGAATCACTGATTGGCTATCTCCTGCACGCCCCCTACTGGGGATCGAGCCCACAACCTAGGCATGTGCCCTTGGCCAGAATCAAACCTGGGACCCTTCAGTCCACAGGCAGATGCTCTATTTATTGAACCAAACCCAAAGAGCTTCTTCATTCTTTTGTATGACTATACAGAAATATCCATTGTATCAATTTATCATAATTTCTCTAATACTCTCCCAACTTTTGCTATAATAAAAATACCGTAAGTCCATAGCAAAATTGTACATACATATTTTTTCCCCATTTGCAAGATAAATTACTGGGAGTGGAATTGCTATGTCATAAGGGAAAAGGCTAGTTTTTGACAATTGGCATCAACTCTTTTAGGGATGACTTTTGCTCTCCAGGGGCTGTCACTGCTTTCCCCTTCTCAATGAGCTGGACAGCCATCAGCAAAGCATTCTGCAGAGCCTGGTTCTTTACCATGTTGGTGATCATGAAAGTGACATCCCTGATGTACATCTGTCTCACTTTGGCACTGTAGTGTTCTGCCTTGTTACCATGTGCAATAAAGAAGGTACAAAGTGCTGTGGTATCTCTTTCTTGCAGCCCACACTCCTCCAGGACAGATTCCCATACAACTCTAATGCGCTTGTTCTTGACTTTTCTTCTAAGGACGGAGGCTAAGGTAGGAAGACTTCTCACCAGGTCTGGCAGCTTCTCAAGCACATGAGTGTGCAAGCAGATGAGTACTTCCACGACATAGCTGTATATAATATTTAATTCCATTGAAGTGAACCTACAAAGAAGGGGAGAGCTTCTAAAGCAGTAGAATACTTTATGTTCAAATATAAATAAGTTCTATTAGGATAGCTCCAAGAAGTGCAAACCCACTAGGAGAACCAGCTGTTGTATTTTAGGAAACACTTTAGAAATAAGACCTGTGCTAAACTGGATACCTAAGTTCCCCAGCCACCCATACTATAAGTTTCTCAATGGCAGAGGAGTTATATTATCCATCTCTGTGTTAGTAAGATTTTGGCAAGCAAGAAACTGTTGATGAGTACTGCAGTGCCTGGCATATAAACAGGTACTCAAATTAATATTTTTGGAATAAATGAACCTAAGAATATGTGGTTTCTTCACAATCCATTGCTGGAACCACATTAAGAAGTTCAATTTTAGAATGCCATTCTCACAATGCCACAAAATTCCACTTGATTTCTCATTGGATACTCACTTGAGTGCCAGAACTGCTGTCCACAGCTCATTTTGGGCTGCCTGGCTTGCCAGCATTTTGCTATGATGTTCAAATTTCTGTGTCAGATTATCCTTGGTGAAGTCCAGTTCTTTAAACTGTGCTTCTAAAGCTTGGAGTTTGTGGTCTACTCTATAGGATAAAAGAATTAGGGGGTTGGTTCAAGTCAGGGAACAAAATTAAGGTGTTGCCTAAGATGAGAATGTATTATTTACAACCACTACCAAAGTTGGGTAGCTATTTGCCATTCTCTCTATCCATCATCCTAGTTCTTGCATTCCTTATATTGCCAAACTTCTGAATTGTCTACTTGAGTTCATTTGTCGTGTTTTATCTTTGTATTGTACTTTATACTTTAAAAAGTATTTTATAGTCCTGACCAGTTTGGCTCAGTGGCTAGAGTGTCAGCCTGTGGACTGAAGAGTCCCAGGTTTGATTCCGGTCAAGGGCATGTACCTTGGTTGCGGGCACATCCCCAGTAGGAGGTGTGTAGGAGGCAGCTGATCCATGTTTCTCTCTCTATCCCTCTCCCTTCCTTTCTGTAAAAAATCAATAAAATATATATATTTTTTATTTTATTTTATTTTTATATTTTATTGATTTTTTACGGAGAGGAAGGGAGAGGGATAGTTAGAAACATCGATGAGAGAGAAACATCGACTAGCTGCCTCCTGCACACCCCCTACTGGGGATGTGCCCGCAACCAAGGTACATGCCCTTGACCGGACTCAAACCTGGGACTTTTCACTCTGCAGGCCAACGCTCTATCCACTGAGCCAAACTGGTTAGGGCAATATATATATATTTTAAAAGTATTTTATACAGCCCTTGGCTGGAGTAGCTCAGTTGGTTGAGCCTTGTCCCATGCACCAAGGGGTCGCTGGTTCAATTCCCGATCAGGGCACATGCCTTGGTTGGGGGCTCAATACCTGGTGGTGGGCAGTAGGGGCAGCCGATCAATGTTTCTCTCTCTCCATTCTTCTCTCTCTAAAATCAATAAAAACATATCTTTTTTAAAAAAGAAAAAAATAGTATTTTATACAAGCATTACTTTGAGTTTCACAACCACAATAAGAAGTGAAATCGTCATTTCTACTATTTTACAGATAAAGATATTAAATATCAAAAAGATTGAGACCTCCCTGGCCAGTGTGGCTCAGTAGTTGAATGTCGACCTCTGAACCAGGCAGTCACAGTTCGATTCCCAGTCAAGGCACATGCTCAGGTTGCAGGCTCGATCCCCAGTGGGGGGCGTGCAGGAGGCAGCTGATCGATGATTCTTTCTCATCATTGATGTTTCTATCTCTCTCTCCCTCTTCTTCTTCTCTGAAATCAATGAAAATATATTTTTTAAAAAGATTGAGACCTAATGTCATATAGTTAGCTAGTGCTGGAACCAGTATTTAATAAGACTGCTTTCTCTACCCTATTCTGTTTAAATACTATCCTTCCTTTAAGGATAAGCTCAAAGTCCACTGCCTGCTTGAATCCCCAGACTGTCTTCCTGAAGATTTCCTTCATACTTTATTCTCACAAGGATTACCTCTATCACCTGTTACTCCCACCTACTGCTTTATTTTGAGTTTGTTTTTCATGAACAAAATTGTACGCTCTTGGAGTGAGGGGTTCAGAGTCTTTTTCTTGTACATTTTTTTTTTTTTTTTTTTTTAGAGAGGGGGAAGTGAGGGAGAGGAAGAGAGACCTAGGATTACAGCAACCTAGCTGGATCCCTGCTATCAATTTCTGCAACGTCCAACCCATCCTCCAGAAATATGCTCCTGAAACACACTTCTGATCATGTCCTTCAACTTTTTATGCCACCCTGACTTGCCCAGTGATACTGTTAGATCCAAGCTGTATCTCCTCAGCAGGAAACATAAAATCCTTGACCCTGTGCTCCCATCTTTTGCCACTCCTCTCACAGCCTAGCCACCAATCATGGAGACATCTAGCTGCTGACCGAATATGGTATGCGATTCCAGGCTTATATGGCTTACATGTACTGCTTCTCCAGTCTAGAGTTCCCGTCCATATTTTTCTTATAAACTCCTACTCACACTTTAAGATCTAGCTTAAATGTTCTCTGTGAAGAATTCCTTTTCCTAGAATAAAAGACAAAATTAATTGATCCTCTCTTCATAGCCTTTTGGAACATGACCATTATATGGCCAATCACAATAAATTTTAAGTATTTTTGAATACTTTTGTTATCCCTACAGGCAGTGAGTACCTTCAGAGCAGAAACCACATTTCATTTCTTTTTACCTACCATATAGCACATGCACTAATTTAATGGAATTCTTGTACCTGGGAGTACATTTTTCTTTATTATTAACTTACATATTTCTTTTAACCTGGAAGACTTAAACCACTTTGACAGACATAGAAGTCTAATTGGCACGTCTATAGTTCTTTTCCTATTTTTAATCCTTATACTTCTTTAACCCACCTTCCCAGTAAAGAAGGCCTATACTTGCTCCCTCCCTGTAGCCCTTAGCAACCTTTTCATCGTCTCTTTCAAGGATATCAGGGTTGCAGTTTCATTGTTCATCTTCTTAAGGCAAAATGAAAGGAAACAAAAGCAAAACAAAAACCCAATAGAGGTTTGAATCCAGGATTTCCTGCTGTCTTCCACTCAGCAACAGGCAGCACCAGCGTGAGTATTAGGTCTGAATTCTTCCTGAAAGGTCACTCAGTACAAGAAGCTTTTAATAGCTTGTACATCCAAATATAGTTTCAAAGAAATGATCGTGTGGACGCAGGTGTCCTGGAATTCACTATGATGTTTGCCTCTGAAAAATGAGCTGTAGTACATCAACAAAGCACAAAAACCAGATGTAATTGTGGTTCTAGTAAGTATGTTCTGGTAAATGTATATATGGATACACAAAGGTAGGCATATACTAGGAGTAAGTTTGATGGAAATATAACTCAAATTTTAACATTATTCAGTTGTCATCTAAATTAGGTTTAAAGAAAGCCCCAGACCATTTATTGAGAGCTTCTAGTATTAGGTTAGGTATTGGAAATAAAAACAGGCATAAAACAGGATTCCAGAATTTAAGGGATTCAAACTCTACTTGGGGAGATAGGACTTTACTTTAAAAATGTGGCCCTGGCTGGTATGGCTCAGTTGGTTGAGTGTCCTCCTGTGCACACAGGTTGCTGTTTGATTCCCAGTTAGGACACATTCCCAGGTTGCAGGTTCGATCCCCAGTGTGGGGTGTGCAGGAGGCAGCCAATCAGTGATTCTTTCTCATCATTGATGTTTCTATCTCTCTTTCCCTCTCCCTTCGTTTCTGAAATCAATAAAAAAATTTAAAAAATAAAATGTGTATAAAATGTGTGCTAAATAGGTACAGACCATGAAAATAATAGATGAGAGCAGGTCACTGAAGCCTTGTGTAATTCAGAAACGCTCACATTGAAAGTAGGATTTGGGCTTTGCCTTAAAGGAAAAGTAAGTCTCTAGTTATCAGAAAGTAAAGAGAAAGGTGTTACAAACTGGAATAATTGTGTGGGCAAAATTATAGAGGTGGCAAGGTAAATAATGGTTAGGGAAAATTGTGTGGGTATGTCTTCAGCATAAGATTCATGTAAGAAAAAGAAAAACAGCATTTAAACTGATAAATCAAGGTCATGGATTTATTTATTTATTGAATAATTTATTTACTTGTTCAATATTTATTCACCATAAATACCAATTGAATGGATAAAACCTAGGCATGATCAGCACTATTCCTGGTATTGAGAATACAATGATGAGCAAGCCAAAACCCTTGTCATAAGGAGCATTAGTAAGGAGACAAAAAATCAAGGATTACAAAAGAATGAATGGTTCTAGATAGCCTGGTAGGAAGTTTCCCAGTCAGGACATATAGGTAAGATGTAGGTTCTGTAAAGTTAATTAGTGGTGTTTAGGACAGATCTAAGTGGAAATAAAACCAAAGGTAGACAAGTCCCTCAGAACACTGCTATACAGTCAGATATGAGGTGATGAGGGAGTAGATTACAAAGAGTGGAAAGGCAAAGTGACAGATATGAGAAACATTCTAATTCCCTCCCCTGTACTCCTGGGGGTTAGAGTCAGTAAGCTTCACATAAATCTTTAGAAAACTTTGGGAATCAAGTCCCTCCTTGCCTCAGTGGGAAAAACCTTGCTAGGGTCTCATGTCCTACCAAGTAGCCATCCTCCCCACCCTCCCACCCCATCTACTTTTATCTCATTAACAGAACCCAAGTTTTGTTCGAGTACTGGGAAGCCATGTGCTTCAGGAAAGCCTGGGCCTCTCCCCAGTCACAGGGGAGTGAATCTTAACTAGACTAAGCCAATCATATTAATTTTATTATTGTTGCTATTTCTATTGGTTTGGGAATGGGCAGGTGGCAGATTCTGGCCTATGAAATGTGAGGTCTACTGTGGGGCTTCTGAGATGTTGTTGTTGTTTTTTAATTGTGATAAAATATACATAACATAAAATTTACCATTTTGGTGAAGGTGGGTGAAATGTACCAGAAAGTACAAACTTCCAGATATAAAAAAGTCTTGGGTATGTAATGAACAGCATGAAGTCTATAATTAATAATAATGTACTATATGTGTATATATATATTTCCCACGTTCAAAGGCTGTTAAATTGCATTGTTTACCCATACCTTCAGAAAAAAAAACCACTTCTACTGTTGTGGTAAACAACCTGCTTCCCTATTTATAATGGTCTGGCCCCCTAGCAACTTCAGCGCGAAATTATAGCTAATTTGCCTACAAACGTCAGGTGGTCATAATAATCTGGCCACTCAGTGTATATTTGAAAGTTGTTAAGAGTGTTCTTGAAAGTTTTCATCACAAGAAAAATATTGGTAGTTCTGTGTGGTGATGGATGTTAACTAGATTTATTGTGTTGATAATAACTCAATATATACTTTTTTATCAAGTCATTATGTTGTAACCCTGAAAATAATATACAGTAGGGCCCCCACCCCCTCTTATCTGTGGAGGATCCTACTTTCCAAGACTCCCAGTGGATGTCGTGAAACCTCTAATAATACTGAACCCTCTGTAACTTTTTCCCGGAGTCCACACAGCTGAGAGGGAGGTAGGGAGGGAGAGGGAGAGAAAGAGAGAGAAACATCCATTTGTTCCACTTATTTATGCATTCATTAGTTGATTCTTGTATGTGCCCTGACCAGGTATTGAACCAGCAACTTTGGTGTATTAGGATAATGCTCTAACCAACTGAGTTACCTGGCCAGGGCTACCTCTGTGACTTTCTAAATAAACTTTGGTTGTATTTTAGTTCCTTGGCTCTGAGTTCTTTTTTTTTTTTTTTTTTTTTAAATGTATTTATTGACTTCAGAGATGAAGGGAGGAGAGAGAGATAGAAACATCAATGATGAGAGAGAATCATTGATTGGCTGCCTCCTGCACACCCTCCCCCCCCCCACCCCCCCCCACTGGGGATCAAGCCCGCAACCCAGGCATGTGCCCTTGGCCAGAATTGAACCTGGGACCCTTCAGTCCGCAGGCTGACACTCTATCCACTGAGCCAAGCCAGCCAGGGCCTGAGTTCTTTTCTTAGCTGAACCCAAGGACTGAGGTCTAACATCTGGTGCCGTTCCCCGTCAATAGAATAACCTCACAAAATATGTGTAATTCTCTCCTTAGGTCCTGCTTCTGGTGTACATCAAATTAAGACTTACATGTACTTACAGCAAGATCGGCCATTGACCCCAAAATGTGTTACTTTCACATTTATTATAGATGTATAGACATACTCACAGATAGTGGGGTTCTTATGGCAGCTTCCATTAAGGAACTGGTGAAAGCAGTTCTTTACATATGGCTTACCTACTTATCAATCTATTGAATAATTTTATTTATTAATATATATTTTATTGTTGATAGTATTACAGATATCTCCCATCTCTACCCTGTTGCCCCCATCCTCTCATCCCCTCCCTCCCTCTGTTGGGGTCCAGCCCCAGCAGGTCCAGGGGTTCCCAAAGGTGTGAATGGAGTCAGCGAAGAAGGAATGACATGGAGGCAGCATTCAGATGATCAGCATAGCCAGGTTCTGTCCAGGATCTCCACCCAGGTTCTGTCCAGGTTCTCTTGCCATGTTCTCTCACTAGGTTCTCCAGCCGGGTTCGGTCGCCAGGTTCTGTGTGTCTTTTATTGTCTTCTTACATCTGTATTTATACCAGTCGATTTTAATCCTGTCAATTTCTATTCCAAAGGTTAGGGCGTTTCTTATCTCCATTCCAGGGAGTAAAGATTATGTAGCTTAAGGGTGATTGTTCGTAGTTAAAGTGATTAACTACCTGCCTGGCATTTAGTTAAGGGGTTTTATCCCCTCCCTAACTTCAGGGAAAAATCCCTACCTGGGGAAACAACCTTTCTCGGAGAGGTGACCTTGGTTAAAGCACATAGCGCTAAGGGGAGCAAACATATTAAGAACAGTATGCCACAGAACCTAGACACAGAACCTACACAGAACCTAGAGACAGAAGAACTTTGCTGGAGAGAACATGGCAAAAGATCCTGGACAGAAACTGGCCACAGAACCTAGAGACAGAACCTGGCTGAAGAACCTAGAGACAGAACCTGGCAATAGAACCAGGCAAGAGAACCCAACCATGCTGATCAACTGAACGCTGCCTCTGTGTCATTCCTTCTTCGCCGACTCCGTCCACACCTTCGGGGACCCCTGGACATGCTGGGGTTGGACCCCAGCAGAGAGGGAGACAGAAACATCAATGGTGAGAATCATTGGTTGGCTGCCTCTTGAGGCCCCACTGAGGATCAAGACCAAAACCCAAGCATATGCCTTGACTGGGAATTGAACCATGATCTCCTGGTTCATAGGTCGATGCTCAACCACTGAACCACACCAGCCGGCTTCATCATTGATGTTTCTATCTCTCTCTCCCTCTCCATTTTTCTCTGAAATCAATACAAATATATTTTTTAAAAGCCTTCATTCCCAGTAACTACACAATCATTTACTTCGGTCCCAGCATACCATCAATTGCCCTACGTGTAGCACTGTGCCAGAGGCTGTGGTAAAACTCAGAAAATCCAGGGAAAGGGAGACAGACCCCAGATTCCCATCCATAATGTTGCAGTTCAGTCAGGAAAATGACCAAAGGTTTTGCTACAAGACCTAGTAGGTAAAGCTGTTCTAGATAACATATTAGGAAGAATTTCCCCATGAAGGGGTCAGGGGTTAAGTCATCATGAAAAGATGTGGAGTCTCTTTTTGGAAGAGAATTAATGGGACCAATCTTGCTTTGTAAAGAATGGTCTTTAAGAGGAATTCTTCACTCAGGAAAAGCAATGAGCATGGCTACAGTGAATCCATGGTTCTGTGAAGGTCACTCACTCAGCTACTTTGGTGAGCTGGAACCTCTAGCTCCCCAAGATGACATTTCACTGGAAGAGAGTGGCCAACTCTACACGAGGCGCATCCCCTGAGTGATGAAGGAGAAGGAATCTGCGCACCAGGCAGGGAGCAGCTGGCCCCGGAGCACTAACAGGGACTCAGCTCTGACGGAGACTCCAAAGTAAACAAACTCCAACAAAAGGGCACCACTGCGGTCAAGGAGAAGCCTGGCCGCGGGAAACCATCTGT